TCTGTCTTGCTGACTCTTACATATGGTCCTGCTGTTCATAAACCTGAGTTCCATCCTGGGGAGCTGGATTCAGTATTAATAATTTTAGAATAAGCTCTTCCTTAGAATTAAAAAAAAAAAAAAATCACTTCATTCAAACTTTCGGCATTGAATTATGTGGTTTTTTTGTTTTGGATGTCACCATTGTCAGCAAAGGTAAGATGTGCTGAATGGTCTCCACAGCTGCCATGGAAATCAGTTGAAGCTGTGCCTTGGATACCAAGAGCACTATGAAAGTGCAAAGTACAACTGTGCTTGATTTTACAACATGGGCGTAGGAGGTCAGCACTTACTGTTAAAACAGTTCTGAGATAATAGGGACAATAAATAGAGCCATTGTAATTATCAGCATCATGCTATGCTTCCCAAACCTGTGCTCTATTTATAAAGTCTTTGACATTTAATTTCTTCTGTCAGTTTAAACTTGTGGTATTTATATTGCTAGCTTCTTTGAGTATGAATTAGGAAATATATGGAAACACTTTAAAAGTACTTGTGAAACAAACTAAGCCAAATGTTGGCTGTATCTCAGTGCACCTTTGTGTGACTGCATCACTGAGACCATGGGAAGGTTTAAAGACGTGCTTATGTGATGCAAATGTATTTTGATGGTCTTTTTTAAAAAAATCACTACTTTTTAAAAAGTGAAACAGGTCTGAATTTCTTCTTTGCCTCATACCTCTTCCACATGATTATGTTGTTTGCAGGTCTTACTGACTTTGTCCTGAAAAGGGAAGTCTCTCCTGCTCTTTGTAAAAATCTTTGTAAGTAGACATAGAGCTTTCAGCAGCAAGAGTCCTCAGTATGTTCTCTTGCTGGATGAGTATCTTAAAAATTATGAATGCATGGATATCTTGAAAATTATTTTGCTTTTTTCACCTCCTGGGAGGCTTTCTGAAGTATACAGTTTATGCTTTTCTCACTTAAAGACAGTAATTTAAGGAAGAGGAAGGGAGCAGGGAAAACCCAATCTGTTTTGGCACAATTACAGTCATGTTCTGATGTGAGAAACTAATGGAATCTTCCGACCTTTTAGGTATTTTGGAACTTAACAGTTCAGCTCATCTACGTGTGAAACCTCACATTTGAATACTTATTTTTAAAGGTAGACAGATCTTGTTGGGGAGAGGAGAGTGTGGTTGTTGGGTGTTTTTTATAACAACTTCAGTCGTTACTTTTGGAGTGAAGACTCCATTAACTATTTTCAACATAATTAAGTTCTTATGGTTAAGTGATGGGCCCTTGCAAACCCAACACTGAGAGCCTTCAATACAGTTGTCAGTTTTAATAGACACAGGCAAGAGCAAAATCTTCCAAAATTTTTCAACAGGTCTGAAACTGCAGCTCCATAATCTTTGACAAATGTTCTTGCCTACACTCAGGTGACTTAGGAGAGTTAGGCTACCTGGCCAGGTTTCCTTAAAGTGTTTGAAGAGGGGCTATACAATCTGAGTTCTCAGTGAAGCATTTAAGTTTGTATCATTCAGTGGTTTGTCCAAGTTATAAAAGCTTAGACTGATATCCTTACAGCTGGGTTGATTCACAACATTGGTTTCAGATCTGAGACTTTATTACCACTGAAAAAGGAGCCATCTTACCCCTCCTTACACCTTTCTCACATAGTGTTAGCAGCAGCACTTGTTGGACCCTGATACCACTGCTTAATCCGAAGGAAAAACATCCACCAAAACCCCCAACCCACTCCATGTCCAAAACTTCCATCCTAACCTGGGGATTCTTTTGCTGTTAGTTATCTGAACCATTACGGAAGCTTTTCAGCATCACAGGGGGTTTGAAAGAGAGGTGCAGGGCTGTGCAGAAAGAGGGTGAGAAGAGAAAGGTAAATAAAGACAAATGAAAAGGCCTGGGATCTCCACTTCCAGAGCAGTGATATTTGAAGGACAGAGTTGAAGTGCTTTCCCATGGAATCAGTTGCCCATACTTCTGATATTGTGTCTTGCAGTAGTTCACACTGCAACGCTTCATTTCCCTGTATTTTTAATAAAATTTACTCCTATCCCTGGATTTCTTTTTTTTTTTTTTTTTTGACATTTCTAGGAAGATATCCTCCTTGTGAGGTTGGTGAGGCCCTGGCACAGGCTGCCCAGAGAAGCTGTGGCTGCCCCATCCCTGGCAGTGTCCAAGGCCAGGTTGGATGGAACTTGGAGCTACCTGGGATAGTGGAAGGTGTCCCCCTGCCCATGGCACGGGGTGGGATGTGATGGGCTTGAAGGTTCTTTCCAACCCAAACCATTCCATGATTCTATGATTTCAATGGGAGGAAAGAGCAGGCAGAGAAAGTCAGTGAAAAGCATGTTCTCAGAATGTGCTTCTCTCTGCCAGGGAGGAAGCCAGCTTATGGTAGTGCCTATAGTTGGCTGTTAGTTATATACTGCATGTACAGGAGTCTTTAGTATATGGACAAGCAAATTCTCAAAGAGGTTACAGTTCTTCTGTTGAACTGTGAGATAAATAGCTTGCCTCTGAAATATGTATGTCTGTATGTGTATGAACACATTGTTTTATATGAGCCAAATTGTGGCCTCTTTTGCATTGCTATTGGCAGAATAGCTTTTCTATATTGTTCTACAAATGGCATCCAAAATACTTTGTGGTAACTCAGTATTGAGGAAGCTGTTTTTTTTCCTTCATAAAGTTGTTTTTAGATGTATGTATGCATATGCATACACACATACCAC